GCACATTCTAGCTGATTTCTCACCTGTTTTCACAGAGTTACTATTTGTGGATTCACTGACCAGAGAACTTTCATCTCCCACATTAACACATGTATGGAAACTCCTTGTTCCTAATTGGCCGACAGAAAAAAAACAACTTCAAACTGGCTCTCCAGCTGACCGCTAATCCGCTAACTTATCTTTCAGAGCCAAGGGCACAGTGTGTGACCTTGTTTCCCTCGGGGAATAAAGAGAGAATCATGTTTGCACTACATCTTAATAAAGGCCTTCCGCTCCTCAACATTCACTCCTTACTTCCTTCTTCCGCACCCCTCCACAACCTCTGGCCACTCACCTCCCCCCACAGGGACTTTTGGGAGAGGGAGGTGGTCTTGTGCTGATCCCCATGAGAAAAACTCCTCCTCACCTGGCATCACTGAATGGCTGACCCCCCAGGAGGGCAGGAGGCGCAAGCAGTAAGGGTGCCGGTGAAGATTAAGCCCTGAGTCTTCACAGACCATTATCAAACAGCATGAGTCAGAACACTGGTGATTAGACACTGAAACGTGGATTTACTTCTTATCCATTGATGAAGGAAAGAATTCAGGTCACTTCAAGTGTTTTCTTTGAACTTTCCTTTATACTGTAGGAAAAGAATGATTTGATTTCTACCTGTGTCTAGCCTCACAACAAACCTTCAAACCTGTGTTAATAACTAGCCTGAGAGATGGTAAATATATCACAGTGGACGACAAAGACTGAGTACACACGCACACACACACAATTTGAACCTGCATTCCACACTGACAGTCAAGGTCAAACTGTTGTGCTGGGAAGTTTTTGGGGAATTCTGACGAGAGACAATAAATTTCAGTCATCTGTGTGTTATTAAATATCAGAGATACTTGTAAATGTTTTTTAAACGCTTGTGTAAAACTCTAAGAATGTCTGACAAAAGAGCAGTAAAAAAGTTAGGTAAGTCTTGCAAATAATCAGGTTCTCGGAAAAGCACTATTAAGTCAAATCGATCTTATTGTTTATGAATCAACAGAGACAGCAAAGGACAAAACACCCTCCTAAGAATTAAAAGTACAATCTGTAACTTTGGCTGCTAGGAATCTCTCAATCAAAACAATAACAAAAGACCAAGTTTGATGACATTGTGAAGCAGCGTGGAATCATGGGAGATGTCTTCACCACCATTGCTGATGAAAATCTACCTGACTCAGGTGCAAATCATGTTCACAGATGAGGTGATGTATTTAAGTTTTATTCAAGTTATGCAGAAAACAGCAACGATGCATTATGAGTATCCAATACAAAAACTGGAAGGAAAAAACAGCCAACGGACTAGTATTGTGTTTTACCTTTGTCTTACTTCATTTGCACCTGAAGTGATCTTAGAGACAGACAAAGCAACGGGTAAAGAGAATATGATGCAAATAAAAGGCGACCAAAATCAAACATCTTGTCACATGAATAAAATTGTGGATTTGTCAGGATTTGAACATTTTTTGGATCATGTAAGTGTACAAGTCAACAAACTTTATAACTTAGGTCATACATTTCAGACATTTTAATGAATTGTTTACTTTTTATATTGTTTAAGGACGAGATGTTAAAAAGAGGCAGGGTTCTCAATGTTACAAATGTACAAAACAAAAAGCTCAGTTTTAATCCCGTAAACCTCCCCTGTGCCGGACCGTGGCTCTTAAAGGATCCAGTCATGCCAAATGACCTCAGTGCATTGGCATGTGATGATCCACTTAAGAAACTCCTCCGTTAACAAGCCCCCCCACCCCACCACCACCACCACCACCACCAAGAACCCTTCAGGCTGTAGCAACACTGCCAGCTCAGGATCTATTCAAAACTCACATTTCCTCTGGACAACACACACCATCTGGGCTCCGAGGTGTGAGTCCATTGTAAACTTTACCACCAGTTTGACAGTCTACAACCAAACTGCTGTCCTGTTAGCGCCTCTCTGCAGAGTCCACACAGGCTGGTGGTGGGACAGCAGTGTGAATTGGAGGGAGGTCAGGGGGGGGAGCAGTTCATTTACTTCACATTTAGCTATTTATCACATGCAGCATTATAAAGGGTGTGATGCTGTTCTCCCTCTAGTTTAGGCCTTATTAACACTTACTTTATACTTGCTTTGGCACAGCGCAGCTATGCTTTTGCCCTGCTACAATAAATTACACACAAGAGCATTATTACACAAACCATCTTCTGCAAAAACATCTAATTAACATCACTAAGCCATTATTGTGTGTAGCATCAAATGTGCAAGAAAATATTTTGAGTGTGCTGCATGCTTGTTTGCGAAACCATCAACTGAATCCTGTGTGGTGTTATGCAGGAAGACGATAAAGAGTTTTATAGATTCAAATGAGTTCCTAAGAGGTCATCGAGCAGGAACACCCACGGCAGAGAGCCTGTAACTAATGCGGGTAATCCACTAAAAGAGCTCTATAAGGAGGAATGCCATTGTAGGAGCTGTAAAATCATTTACATTGAAATAAATTCTTTTGTGATGGGTATGAGAGCCTGAGCAAAACAATGAAATAAAGCACAGTGAATGTAGGAGCTGTATAAATTCTATTACAATTGCAGCCATGTTATGTAATGACTTACATAAACCTATGCAACTTGAGTAAGATGCTGCAAACATGGAGAACCAGGGACTCTGGGGTTTCAGCTGAGTGTCAGTGCATGACTTGAACAGTAGTTGATACAGGCTCACCTGAGGCGGCTGATAATTAATGCTATGGACAATTAAGCAGAGAAAGAGTTTCAGTCCAGAAGTTCCATTAACAATCCCACTCAGAGATGCAGCCATCCCTGCCATCATTTATCTGTGTCCACAAGCCTGTGCCCACTGATCTGGAAAAGCTGCAGTGAATGGAGATGATCCCTCCGTCCCCCTAGAACCCCTTTAAAGCTGTACAATCTGCACATGCAGCTACATTCCTGCCTGAGGTTAAGTAGGTCAGCAGGAACCCTTATCGGTGAGAGAGCCGCCTCAGGTCTACTGATGACTTAAGTCCCTATCACTGGACTGACAACCTAAACTAAATTCATATCACTATGTTTCAATTTGAAACGCATCAACTCTGCAATGGATACGCCTGGTGTCCACACTACTCCAGATTGTTTGAGCCGCTAAAATGGAGAAGTTAAAAATCGTTGCTGGCCCCGTTTTAGTTTGAAAAATCTGAGGCTGTGTTTTTTTCTCAACATGCCGAAACTAAGATGTTTGGCAACAACGAAATACACAATCACAACCGCTTGCTGATTGGGTCTATGCAATCCCGACATAGCCTCTGCTAAATTATCAGGCCTCAGCTACCAGTGTAGTGCACAACATGGATTATCAGTTAAAAGCGCTGCTGACTGTTGTGTTTGCTAACAGCTGTTGTGTAGTTAAATTCTGCATTTGCTTACATGCAAAGGAGATTATCTATTCCTGGAGCAATTCCTGTTAACACTGGCACACGCATATGCGTTAGTATGGAAGTGGATCAAAACTGACATAGAGCAAAAATGTTTCTGTGGACAGGGAGGGTTTCAGTTTTAAATATTATTTTCCAAAGAAAGACATGTGGATGTAGCCTTAAAAGAACATTTGCCTTGGTAACATTCATATATTTCACATGTGGGACACAATCATTATAATAACGCTGGCTCACATTCCACCATGGTCTTGAAAGTTTAACTTTTGTGGAAATTTTGAAGGGTCTCATACTTTTCCTGTCATCCAGGTTGGCCTGGAAAAGTATTTAGAGAGAACAATGGAAAAAACACTTTCAGCAGCTGAGAAGAACATCTGAGTAGATCTTGGAGCACAGCCCAAATATTATCCCTCATGCTGGTTTTGTCTGATCATGCCTTGTGACGCACAAATCCTTGTAGTGGGAAAATCGTCATTACAACTTAACTTTAAAATCCTTGGGCCCTTCAAAGAAATTCGAGCTGGACCACAACCTTGTCACTGTTTTCCTTGACCGGACAGGGGGCTTCCTTTCACCATGTGCATTCCTCCTGCCTGTTAACCGATTCCAATCATCACCTCACGTAGATGGTGCATTACCAGCAGCCCTGCCCCTTAATAACCACCCATCCATCTAAAGCAGGAGAGCAAGGTCAGTCACATATTAACTCCAAGTGGTTCACAAACAACAAAACTGAAAGCTGCAGTGGGTGTTCTGTCAAGCCAAGGTGATTTCGTACTCCGCATCTGAGCTGCAAAATGAGCTGTGAGACTGTGATGTCAGCGCAGAATGGCCTTTAGAGGAAATAGACAAACAAATTTTCATGAGGGTGGCACACGTCTCCCTAAGCCAAAAGCTTCTCCCGGCCAAAGCTGAAGCAAAGGGACAGGCGTAGGCGAAAAAGGGAACCATTGACACATTGGTATTCTTCAGCCAAAGTCGAAGCCAAGCGCCAAATGTGTTCAGTGGAGAGAGGAGGAGGCGTGGGGGGAGCTTGGGGGTTGAGGGACAGAGGAGGCAAACAGATACAAAGAGTCCCTGTGTCAATGCAGTGGCTCTGCGACTGAATAATGAACACTAAAATAATATGTAATTTGAGTGGCCCCCAGCATACAAGGTCAGCCTAACCATCTTGGCTGTTGGTGATTCTGACACATTCTGGTTTGATGTGCGAGTGTTCAGGAGTTTCAGTTGTAGGATGGGGGGGTCGGGGGGTGGGGGGTGGTGATTGGCCAAGCTCCACAGACACACAAAGAGCCTCTCTGCCAGCTGGGACTGTAGGAGGGGAGTTCATTGCTCTTTCGGCTCTGCCTCTACATTTCCTCTATTCTTCCATTCCAGGGATTTTTCCATTCACCTCTAATGTACTTCTGTGTTATGTTAGCACACTGTCCCAGGTTTCAAGCAAACCCACCGTCATTATAGAACTCCTGCTCATTAAATCCAATGTTATAAAACTGGTCAATTCATAAGCAGCAATTATCAAAGCATGGATTACACTGGATACAATTGCGTTGACCTTACCTTCCCCCATTGGGCCCTGGTGGAGAGCAGAATGGGACCCCTCTGGCATGGCACTCAGGCCTCTTGAGCTGACAAAACAAAACATCACGGTTCAAACACAAGCCTACCAATTTATGTCCAGACTTAGTAGTGACAGCTTTGCAATACTTTTCATTTTTTATGGGTTTATATCAAAACACACTTTTGTTTTTCTTAACTGACCTGGCCCTAGGAGAGCAGAGACAAGGTCTTATATAAAGGGGAAATTCTTCTCATTCCCCTGCTCGCTGCTCTGCATTAGCTCATGCCAGCCACTTGGTAATGTATAGTGTAAGCAGGTTTAAGATATGTGGGGGGTGACTCTGATATAATCTCATGCTAATCGGTAGAAAAAAGGAGTGAGTGAGTCCAACTTGCCATTAATGGGCACTTAGCAGATTTAGCAGCTGCAAAGTTAATGGATTTGGGAACCTCTGACATTTGAGCCATATAAATACTGAAGAACAAGAGGGTTATGTTTTCAATCCTGTATGTTTGATGTTTTTTTTGTTTGTGAGCAAACTTACTTTCTTCAACATAAACCTGCTTTATTAGTTAAGAGAATCCACGCCACATTAAACAAATCTCTCATCATCAGTGTAACTGTCCAGTGAGGTAACAGTTTCGCGCCTGGTGGCATGTATTTTTCTAATCCCTCATGCCAGGCTGTGGTTCTATTAATGATGAGATATGTCCCCTCGGAGCTGCTTTGCAGCCAGTTTCTCACATCACTGCCTCTCTGGCTCCTTAACATGAGAACTCGTCTCCGTGTGATTCCTGGTGAGCCTCCGGCCTTTTAGACATCACATTCTTGCGCCAGCTAGATCAGAGGAGCAGGAATTCTTCGGGGATTAGGATGGGCATTGTTCCTAGTGCGTTTGCTGGCCGCTGTGCCAGACTGACAGTCAGGCCAGCCGAGGCCAAACAGAGTCCGCTGCCAAGAGGTTCGCCAATTAAGATGTGCAGGCATGCCAGGAGCAAAGTCACAGAGCTGGTTCTGAACATTAAGATCACTGGTCCCTGCAGCTGCAGCCTGGACTGACGTAAAACTTGTTTACTAGACACGAATCTCTGCAGCCGCAAAACCTATTTTTTTCTTTAGCTTGGGGCAAAGCAAAGCACACAAGTGAGGGAAAAATCTGTCCATCCAATCACACTGACATGATTTTTTGCTTGCAAGGTCTCTTTGACTATTACTACAGTCGCTCTTCAGGCATGAACTCTGGAAAATATCCAGAAAATGTTATTTCTCAAATGAAGAACGTAGCAGCAGATTGAGTCAGACACATTCACAACAAAATGTCCGGAACTTTCAGGAGAGGGAACGGCACAGACCATGCAGGACGCAGGACATAATTTTTAAATCGCATGTTTTTGTTGACAGCACATTGGCTTCGCTGCCAGCCATTATCACCTTAAGCTCTCGAATCTCATTGTCTTTCCAAGTTGACGTCCTTGTTGAGGTCTTCTCCTACTCCTAGATACTTGTTCTCTTTTTTTCCAGTTTTGTGTCACATGTGAAACGTCATCAACATAACCTCTCAATTTTCATGCTGTATTCTCACACGGGCATTTTTTCTTGAAGAACAAAAGGGAAAAGAAATTACTATATGATGTTGATTTGTGCTTGATCAGTGCAGGTCTTCCACGATGGAGATTCCATAAAGCATCTTGTGCTTGGTTAATTGATTTTCAAGTGTTCGGGTGGTTTGGGAAAACCTCTATAAGTGGTAATCATGTTGAGGGGCATGCTTTGAAATGGTCTCAATGAATAGTGAACTCATAAATTCCTCTGATAATCCTTACCACTATGAGATCTGAGCTAACCCTGCTTACTGACCAGACCAGAACTATGCTAATCTTCCTCTGGTCAATGAGAGGCTAGACTACGAATAATGGACTCAATCCTAGATACACTGTAGACGTCTGGGCCTAAAATATGTTTATTCAAAGTCTTATGGAAGGTCACAGGTGGTGAAAAGTGGTTTGGGTGGCGAAAATGAAATGTTGAAAATGTCTAACAGGACAGTTAAAATCCGTGAAACCAACAATCATAACACTTCTAGCCAGAATTCAACAATCGTAACTCAAAAACCTTCCCCTCCTTGTTTGCTGACATATAATAATTCCAAATCCTTGTTTTCCTAGGGAAGGGGCATGGACAAATTAAGATCCTAAAGAAAACACTAAGCACAGACTAACATTCATACCAAACTCACCACCTGTGCTTGAACTAGCTGCCATTTCACACAAATGGGGGAGCATTTGGTTCCCACAGCTGATTACTGCATTACCCGCAGCATGAACCTCCCACATGGGAATCTGCAGCTTGCCCATTTAATTGGAGACAGATGCTGCAAGAGAGAATCTGATGGTTATTAAAAGACCTGCAATGGATCACTTCTTCAGATGGGCTGATAAACTTCCTTGTCCCTCTAATCGCTGTGGCCTTACACTGATCCAGGCGGTCGAAGCCTGAATTCCTTTCTTTAAAACACAACAAACAGATGATTAAGGGGAAGGCAGATGCTGACCGAGATACTGCGCTCATGCAAATAAAGAGAACATTTATTCTGAGTCATCACCACGAACCTGTAAAAAAATACGCACGGACAAACAAATCCCTTGAACCAAGACCTCAGGCCTGACACACTCAAGGAAATAGGGTCCTCGGGGGTGATGAATATCTGCGGTATTTTTCACCACTATAGACCATCAAGGTTATAGCGGGAAGTGAAACTGCTGAGAATGTGTAGAAAGGCATCGAGTGAGAAACATGACTTCTGCTATCAGGTAGACATGTCACTTTCTCTGTCTCTCCAGGAAGAGACATACCGACGCAGACAAGTTAGAAAGGATGTGACATCATATTTCACCAAAAAGACTGCTGCCAATAACGGACTGTATTTCCATTCTAACATTATTCTAACAGTCTCCAAGGAAAACACTTGTCCAGATTGAACTATTGCAAAATGATTTATGTGCACAACAGATGACGTACAGTTTGGACCCACAATCTGAATCCAAAAAGGAACTAGATCTGCCTTTTGTGCAGCAATTAACAACACAAAACGTTTTTTTCCTCATGCAGAACAATTTGATGGGACAAGAGGCTAAAAATAATTCATACAATTGCTGCTGCGCTTCTCTGTCACAGTAAGCAACCTACCGCATCAAGCTGCATTCACTGCCTGTCCCAACAAGGCCCAGGGGAGTCTGAGAGCATGAAATAAGTCCCCTGGGACGTCTCTACTCAGACACGGTGAAGCAGATTCCTTTAGGGACACCGTCAGTCTGGACAGATGTTTATGTTCAGAACAAATAAAATCCATTCTAGCCTGGCAGGCTGAGGTCCACAGTCCTGCGGGCTAACCAAGAAATAGAGTCTCAATTATTTCAGCATCGGTGCCATGTTTATTTTGCATGACCTCTCTCTTACCCTCTTACCCTGTCTACCCTGACAGAAAATACCCCTTGACAAACAGCTTTTCTGTGAGTGCCCTCTTTCCCACATCACTCCTGCAGTTTGTCCGCTGACACACAGGCCTTTAGAGACTAACAGCTTTTCATTCACTGGGGAAAACAATAAAGCCCTGACAGTCTCTTCATCTCAATTAAATACACAGCTCCTACAAAAGGCACTGCCCCAACCCGTGACTTCCCACAGACGCGCAGAGTATGAGCCTCTTATTTTAGTCTGCTGCATTTTTCCGCACGCTTTTTAAGAGTGGACGATAACTGATCCACCCCTATGAACACCCGCAGGGCACTGTGAGGAGTTTTGCCCATATGGTGCACATACACTCCCTGGCCAAAATAGCCCTTAATGGGAGAATAATTGTTCCCTGCTGTGCTGAAAAGGAAGAAACAGCTATTTTCACCTCCACGCCAGTGACCTATAACCACAGAATGCTTACCTGGCAAGTGAAGTTGGCAAGTGCCATCTTATTCGAGAGATGACATGAAAAGATTTCGAGTGCTTAAAAATCTTTAGTGTTGAACAACCGGTGGGTAAGTGGTCCTCCATAGTGACCTGCACTATTTGGAGGGGGAAATCAGACACCAAGCCTTGAAATAGAACTTTCAGTGTGGCCATTTAAAGGTGCATTACACCACATCTGCAAACAGCTCCCCTGTGCCTCAGAGAAAGCTCCTCAACATCATAACAACAACAATTTAAGTGGCACTCTGCAGAACAAGTACCTCCACCAAAATCCCAACAGTCCACTTACATTGAATCAAGCAATACCAAATTGCACACGCTCTTTTCAGCCGAAGTCTGGACTTTTTCCTGAAATTTGCCAGAGCGGCCGTATGTGGGAACGCAAATATCCAAGTCCATTGCTCTGGACATTTTTCAGGACTTTTCCTGCCAGCCCCCTAGTAAAGCGTCAACAGGAAAAATTTACAGTGTAGGTAAGTGGGAGTGTTAATCTTTTATCAAACAAATGATGGATGCAAAACCAAAAAACAAAAAGAATACAAATATCTCAGGAAGAAAAAAGAAGCCATAATGGTAGAGGACACCTATTAACTTGGAAAGACTGAAAGGCTTGATAGCCTTTCGTGTGCTGTAAACAAAAACACGTGATTTCTGTGTCCTGCCACCTGCATGGTCCACCCCTCATCTGGATGTTCCAGACATTTTCCTATTCTTATGAGCGTGTCTGACAAGTACGATCTCCTGCTGTGTTCTTTATGTGTGAAGGACAAACTGAAAAATTTCACCCAAATATGTCAGATTTTTTTTCTTCTTAATGCATTATTCCCTGGGAAAAAAAAACACCAATCCTGCAATTTTAAGAAAGTGATAAATATTGCAAGATCCATCCCTTCTCCATGCCAAATGTTACCGGGTTCTTTCTTGGCCCATGAACCATCCTTCCACCAGTTTTGTGGATATCTGTTTAGTACTTTTATGTATAATCCTCCTCACAAAGAAACAAACAAATGGACAGGGGTAAAAACATAACCTCCATGGCGCAGGTAAACATTCTGACCTCCCTCTGGCATCTGTTGTATTACTTATGGCACACACTCTCCACTGTCAAACAAACACTCAGTGTCGATGGGTCGAGTTTAAAGCTGACCTTTAACTCTCACTGTGAAATCCGAGCTGCGACTTGCAAAAGCTGGAACTTTATGGTCCTGTTATATCCAGGTATCTCCTAAGCAGCGTAAAAGCAGTGTTGAACCGCAACATAACAAAGAAAGTGGCGTTCACATTCTGCAGCTCTGGTAATTTTAATCACAGCTGCAGCATACCAAGACTCAGGAGGAAGAATCCAAGAGCCAAGTCTGTGATCCAAGACACATTCGGGCTGCTTCCTGTCTGGACCACCTGGAAGACAGCGTTGTTCCTTGCATCGAAGCAACATTTATCTCAAAATGAAGTTCAGAGGTTATTGTGTTGACGGGTCAAGTGAGGTCAGAGGAGAAGATGGAACTTTTCACTGGTAACTGATTGATTTCCTTGCCATTCTTCTCCAGCAGCTGGAGGGGCAAAGCCACTGACCTATGAATAGCCTGCATTTAAAACCTCACTGTGTCTCACTGGGGTGCTCATTAGAAAAAGACAATCAAGGCTCCTGGGGGCCAAGTATGGACACCATAGGAGGCTGGTGGAGAGAAAAGAGGAAATGGCAAAAATGATTCAGCTGCAGCATGGAAGTGAGTTTGTGGAAAAAAGTCTCATCCCCCTTAAAAAACGACAGGAAAAGAAAAAGCTCCAGCAGCTGATCAAAGTCCAGTCAACTGAGAGAGCAAAGACAAACACAAGTTATCTGAGTGAAACTCCTGCTCTCTCTCTGCAGGACCTGCAGCCCGCATGTCGGGAAACTAAATCAAAATACACCTAGCAATGAATCTATGAGGCATGGAGGTGCGTTTAAGTGCTTTAAATTTAAAAAAAATAAATAATAAAAAGTGTGGTGGTTTGATTGGTTTGTTTTCTTAGATGGAGAAGTTTGAGGCTAGTGGATAAAAAGCTACTGAACACACAGAGAGACGTTCGCTGTGAATAACCTCAGTGTCAAAGAGCTGCTCGGACATTTACCTGTTTTCACCGCTCACGTTCACTTAGCTAACTTTCGGTCAAAGCGCTCAGAGGAACTTCACGTACCGGGGATTCGCCGGAGTCTCCTCCTCGGGTCCTCGGCTGATAAAAACCGTTTTCTCCGTAGTTTTCTTGGTGTGAACCGTCACTTACTCCGTCACTTTCCTCATTTCACATGGTAGAAGCCGCTCACACACACAGACACACACAGAAACACACACACACACAGGTCTTGAAGCAGCTCGGACTGAAACTGAGCTGCTGCTCCAGGATGATGCTTCTGCTCACTGCTGCTGCTGCGTTCACGTCTCTGGGAAATATGGAAACGTCAAGTGGGTGGCAAGTGAACGCCACAGGGAGAAAGCGACAATCCTGTGATTCTGACTCATGTTAGCTGAAATATGTTAGTTTATCTTCTCCAACCACACATTCTGTGTGCTTTCTAAATGTATTATTGTTATTATTATTATTTGCTCCCACTCCTGTACTAGTATTTACTTATTGTTGATACTGTAATCTTGGAGCAAGCTGGTACAATAATTTCCTTTGGGATTGATAAAGTCATATCTTATCCTATCCTATTTTATCTTATCTGGACTTGTCTTGTCTTGTTTTGTCTTGTCTTATTTAATCAAAAATATAAACAAAGATGAAAATAACATTTGTATCTATCTGTTTTATTGCTGAGCCCTATGTTGGCTTATCTGGACTGGAAATGACAAAGAATACTTAATACAGATAGAGATCTTTATTGGGCTCTTTTTCTTATTTCTTTACTTTCGGTCTGATAATAACACCGGTTAAATAATGATTGTTGTTGGTATTAGATGTATTAAGTATAATTTACTACGACATTACTATTATTATCATTATTATTATTCGTAATAGTAGTAGTAGTAGTCCACTAGTCTGAAAAATTGTTCTTTACGAGGAGTAAATGAACGCAGCAAAGGAGCGCCTGTTTTTGACAGGCCAGTGTCATTTCAGAGAAAAACAGATGTGTTCCCGCAACAACATCTGGATCACACCGCCTGGCCGCTTACTCCAGTATAGTTTTATAGTTTTATTACAAACAAACAGAGAGCAGCTGATTATTTTTCACTATAAAAGTTTACTTTACTTCCATGTGTGTGCAAACCAGTGACAGGCCTGTGAAAGGACATAACAAACTGTCACCCTGACAATTACATTTATGAGGGTCAGCTCGGCAGAATGGTGGAGCTCACAATGGTTGGCTTCAGTGAATCAATTGGTGGGTGATAATTTATGTGCGGCTGATTACATAGAGAGGGGCGCCTTTACTTTGGGGTCTGTGCCCTCCTCCGGGAGATCATCCGCATGAGGCCTGTGTGTAGAAAGGAGCATTCAGAGGCGTAATGGACTGAACATGCTCCTGTAAGATGTGCAAGTGAGGTGTCCTGATGATCATAGTATTAGCAATCATAATCAAAGATATGTGATCGTGAACTAAATTAAGTTTGAGTAGCTTTAGGTAATTTGAAGTAGCTGCAAAGGCAGATGATTTGAATATTTAACCAAACAACATTGCCATCTGCTGGTGTAAATATGGTAATGCATGTGCCCTGTGTGTGGGCGGTGTCTTCCTGTCAGTGACACTCAAATTCTAATGTTAAAAGAAAATTGATTAAGCGATGGATTAATCAACAAATAAATAATTAAATAATTAAACAGTATCTGCAAAGTCAAAAGGACGTTGTGATAAAAAAAATATCTGTATCAGGATTAAAATGTTGTTCTGTTGATTGACTACACTGGATCACAGGGGCTGTGAATTAAAGTTTTACATGTGTTAAAGCTGTTTTCTGGAATGAGCTCAACATGGTCTCTCCCTGTGTTGTTCGAGGCCACAGTTGAACCTGCAGCTGTGGTTTAGTCTAAATCCAGCAGCTGATTCCTGTAGAGGTCATCCAGTCATAATAAACCAACTACTTCACTTCTGTTACGATTACACAGAGTCACATCTTTTCTAATTTTCGTTCATTTGCTTTTTGTGCCAGACTAGAAGATTTCGGATTATCAGAGTGATTCATTAATCAGATCAGTTATGTGACCTCGCATGAATCAAACTCGCAACCAACAGACATGCAGGAAAATTGGAGGTAATGTAGGTAATTGTTAATGTCAACAGAAAGTCTGTGTGTGTGTGAGAGAGAGAGAGAGAGGGTGGGTGTATGTAGACTACTGGAAAAGCTGCACTTGAAATTCCTGAAGTGTAGCCTCCAATAACAACAACAACCTGTACTTATGTGGCCTATGAGGAGCTTGGATAATACCTGTGTGTTACTGTAAGTAAAAAAAGGGAACTGTCAATTGAGGGAGGCTGAAGATGAGCAAAAAAAACTGAACAGTGTCATTGTTTGCTTCATTTGTGCAAAATTTGATCATGGAGTAGAAAACTTTAGCAAACAGGCTTTGTCTTATCTCTGTCTCTCTGTCTCACACAAAATGTGAAAACATCAGCTGTTTGAAACTAAACATGCTGAGCACAGAGTCATGGATCAGTTCTTGTTTCAAGTAGGTGTGCACATAATTTTTTGTGCACAGGTTTTTGTGTTTTGATTAGAAACATTAGAATCTCAGAGGTCACTGGAGAAGGAGCCGGGATGGTATCATAGGGGAGGTCTTATTTGATGACAACTGTCTGGGAGATAAGTGGAATTTGTTTGAGTTTAACAAAGAAAACACAATGAATCTTAGCTAGACTAAGTACTGTTTGAACTAAGTACTTCTTAAAATATATGATAAACCTTTGTGAGGCCACAAAGACAAACAGTATGACTAATATAGATAAGTAATAAGTCGTCCACTGATCACATGGTTAGACCCCTGACACCTCCAGTCTGTATTCCAAAGTGCTCATGGACAAGATACTGAAGCCTCAAATTGTTCCCTAATGGCTTAGCCAACAGTGTATTACAGAAAAAGTGCTGCGTGTATGAATGTGTTGAAATTGCATGTTGCAGCTGAACACCCCTCTCCTCACCCTCTCCTTCCAAACATGAAAAAGAACCTGTGGTAGCCTTTAATTGTCATAAAAACTCAAAAAGTGTTTAGTTTGTCCAGTCTGGAGTAATGTAAAAAACATGGCGGCCTCCGTGGAGAGGGTCCCCTCGATGTACAATTTAAATGAAATGAACTAGATGAAAACATCGTGAGGATTATTCTGCATTCATTTCTGCCAATAGTTCCCTTTCACCTAAACCTTACACAATGGACCTTTAGGTCAATTACAACTAAAAACCTCCAGAAATTTCTAATCCTTTAACAAGACAAGAAAAAAATGACCCTCCAGTACATTTTGAGTTATTATTTTTATTTAGTATAAACATCACAATGCTGCTAATGTTGCAGAGAATCATATCAGGTCCTATGTACAAACATTTGATAAAATGTTGAAAAATCAACAGGAAGGCAGCTGAATAAATGTCTCCATACGTGTTCAGCTTTTTCTAAAAACGCTTGAGAAATCAGACAAAAATAATCTTAATATAGCTTTCTCAAAAATCTAAGATTATGTACAATATTATGAATGAACTGCAGTTTAATCCAGTGTAACAGTGACGTATGAAATAGCAAAATAGGGGGTAAAGGTGATGCGGCAAGATTTCAGTTAATTGGAGAGATTATCATGTGACATAAATTCTGAAAAACGGTAAATAATCTGGTCTCTTACTTTAGAGTAGCAGACCAGCACGAACCTGCTGATAGTTCAGGTATGAAAACTGACTATTTTAAAAAGAGGTATTTATCACATCATGTCATAGAAGCAAGAGGACATTAAAATGAGAACCTAATTATGGACTGTATGAACTGTATGATATCCAGTGATAATCTAACTCCACACTGATAAAAATCCTTTTCCTTTAACCTGAGTACACACAGTTTTCAACAGGTCACTGCATTAAATACAAGCTAACAGACAAATCAGTAGACGTCACATTTCACCTTCTGTGTATATCACCCTTAAAAAAAACAAACATCCATCATACGGACGAAATAAAAACGATCCCCTCCAGCATTCAAATTGAGTCGACGGATATCCTCTCCTCTGTCATCAGTCTGAGTCTGTTCGGTGTATGATGGGGCATCTGCAACCAGCGTCATACACCACCGGGACGGGGGTCAAAGGTGAGGGCTGAGGATCAGATGGGCTTGGTGGTGGTGTTGTAGACCAGGCGCTCTCGGTCCTCTATTGAGGAGACTGGGGCGGTGTTGACGGGGACGCGGTGGTGCTGTGCAGACTTCTTCTTTCCCTTTATGAAGCAGTACAACAGGATGCCCAGTAGGATGATGATAGCCAGACCCAGGAGGGCAGCTGCTGCAATAATACCTGTTGAATTAAAAAGTGTACATTTAAAAAATCATCAAAGCAAATTCCGCTTTGACAAACTTGAGCTGGAAGTGGAATGAAGTTTGGACGACATTACTGAACAGCTTGTACCCAGTAGAAGTTAAAGAGTTAAAAAGTTGGAGGTAGAAAGTAAATAAAAACTGAAGGTGGTATACCTGTCTGGTTGTCAGAAGTCTGCTTTTCAAACTCCGCCTTTCTTGCAAATACGTCCTTTTCTGAAATAGAAATAAATAATATATTTTCGTGAGTTTTTTGCAGAACACCACATGTAAAAAAAGCATAAAAATAATTCATTGAACTGCACTCAACCATTGAGGGAAATTGACAATAAGGTATACATTTTTTGGCCACATTGGGGAAGCAGAAACAAGTTGATATGGTAAACTTGTTAAGATGCGTATTTCTACGTCTCAAGTCCAGTATTCACCCTTTGGCTCTATTTTGTTCTCCCCCAGCTGGTGAGGGAAATATCAGGCTCAGCTAAAATCTTAAAGTTCAGCAATGTGTTGTCAACTTTGTCTTGTTGTGCTGAAAAACATCAGTGATAAAACCAGTGAGTCTGAGTCATGAAAGATTAAAAGGGTACTATATACTCAATAGAGCTACAAGCAACTCCATTCCCAGTGCATGTATTAATATGATCCATTATAAATAGGGCCTATAAAAACATTGATTAAAGCAGCTTCAGTGTTAATAATTCACTGCATTTGCACATGCCAAACAATTTACCCCCATCTTCACATGCATTATAAAATGTTGTAGTTCATGTCTAAAAAAGCTTGATTGAACTCCTTGTGTGCTGTTTAACAATAAAACTATTTGAGAAATAACTTGAGGTGGTAGAAAATGTTGGAATAAAAAAAAAGAAGGAAATTTGACAGTTTGGAGAGGATTGGGGAAAAAGGTGCCATCTTCATGTGCCTTCATGTGAGGCGGCTCTTGGTGGACATAGGGTTTTAATTTACCAGCATACAAATATTGGTGTAAAATACCTTAATAACAACCCACCTGTAACACCATTGCAAACTTTCCGGCAGGACTCCTCAGTATCAAATCTGTTCTCATTCCCCTGGCAGCCGCCATAGTTGAAGCGGAAGCATTCCTTTTGGAGGGGGTTGTAGTACCATTTAGTGAGACCGTCCCTGCAGCTTCCTGTGTGGGGAGGCTCCGTGCATCGCACTGTGAACGACGATAAAATGAGATTGTATGCAGCGCTAACAGCTGACAGGAGCGTCTTTAATCTATTCAAATTTTAAGAATGAATTTAAAATGTGAAATGTTCAAATCACCTTTTTGCTCATCCACTGGAATCTGGAGCAGAATCCGAAACTTGTTGTCCACTAGAAGCACACAGGACACAGTGAGAGTTAAAATCTCATTTTTTCTACATTTCTAATTCTCTGAGTCTAGTCTAGTTTGCAAAGTCGCTGCTTACAGTCCTCGCACTTCTGCTCATCTGAGCTGTCACTGCATTGTGGTATTGAGTCACACTCGAGGCCTGGGTCCAAGCAGCAGCCGCTAGCACAGGTGAATTGCTCTGTTGTGCAGGGATCACCACATTTTTCTCCTGTGGCACACAAACAGCAGGAAATGTCAATGGCACTGCACCAGAGCCGTCGCTTTGAAGTGGCAACAATCAATATTTTTATCACAGCAACGCACCAATTGATGTCCTTTAACTGCCTGGTCCAAAGAGACCTGATGATAAGCATCACTTGAACCAAGAGATTTTCATCCTGTGCTTTCTACTTGTTTAAAAAAGATGATGCGACAAATCTGAATTCACTTACCCTTAGGTGCGGGGATCGGTAGACCTCTACCGGATACAGCACTTTTCTCTGAAAGAGAAAACAGCAAATGAGTTTAAAATTCAATGATACATGCACATTGATACAGCACTTTACCTTTTCCCATGTTCCCATTATCATCACATCATACTGCAACAAACAAAAGCCAGATCAAAGAAGATATAGATACCTGAGCCAGTGCAGGCTTTGCTACACTCATCCTCGGACAAATAGTTGTTGAGATTCTCCCTGCAGCCTCCGAAGACGAAGCCCTCACACTTCTCTGAGGCGGCGTTGTAATGCCATCGGGGGAAAGAACCGCGGCATGGTCCTATCTTCTTTGGGGCCATGCATTGCACTGGTGAGACACAGAATAAAGGATTAGAGAAGCTGCTTCTGCTTCCTGAAAATCTGCCAAAATAATTTGATTATTATATAAAATAAAATAAAAAGGTAATTATATAAAAATAAAATAATATATGAATACTGTTTCAGATGTTAAAACAAAATTACTTTTAAAAGATATTAAAATGTTTAAATTCTCTATCCATGTTTTGTTTTTCCCACGAGCAATAGGCTATTAATGGAGTAATGTAACGTGTTATAATTTCTAAAATAGTAATTTTATAGATACAAGCCCAGGTAACTATACGTTACCATGGCCGATCTCTCGCACCTCTCACCCACACTTGCACCTGTCTTGGGATAGGCCTCGCTTGTAGGCTATTTAAATAGTTTTCTTCAGGGTGATTAGGAGGTGTTTGACGTGTGTTTGTGTGTGTGTGGTTGACAGTATGAGCAATTCAGTATTAATGTATTTCTGCACTGCTTTTATTTCACACAGAGCTCTGCTGTTAGGTCTGAAGTTATTTTGCCCTTGTGTTACTCTGTCTGTTCACTTTAAAGAAAACATTAAATTGTGCTGTGGTTCCTGTGTTAAACACGTCAACAAGTGCTCCCTGCACTGTGGAGCTTCCTGCGTGTTCCATGTGCTTTCAGTTCAGTCCTGAATGTTCCATATTTCTCATCAAAATAAACGTCTGAGAATGCATTATTTGGCCTCTGTATTGTTTATTGGTTTGGAGGAAGGCCACAAACATTTTTGAGATTTTCAAGTGGGCCCTGAATTGGAAAAGGTTGGGAACCCCTGTACTGGACCAATTTCCATGAAATTGTTTGAGTGTTTTTCCAGATCAGATGGCAGATCCAGGAATTTGTTTTACTTTTTTTATCATTGTGAAATAGGGTGTTTAGCAACATTTTGGTTGAATAATTCACAGAGCTTGATGAAAATAATCAGCCATGTTTTCAGTTTGTGTTACAACTCTGTCCAGTGAAATGTGTAATTGCCCCAACACTAACTTATTGCTCCCTGATGTTAATCTGATTCTAAAAGTTGTCAGCTAACTAGTTTTCCTCAGAAATTCCCTAAAATACAAATTTAAAATGCACCAAATATCCTCACTGGACACTTAACAATGTACCACAAATCCAAAACTCCAGTCTGACTAACATTACCAGTTCTGTCTCATATCCGACACCTTCAATGAGAAATTATTTTGCACCTTGTCTCAACTTCCTATTCTTTGTGTCTGTCTCACGAGCTAGCAGACACATAATTATACATGTTTTCCTGTATAGATAAATGCAAACGAGCAGAAACAATATGTGATTCAGCAGAGAGGTTATAGAGGTAGCACAGTAATTTGTCTGTATAGTTGGCTGATGATTCATGCTGTGTGCCCATGTAAAGTTACACATATCACAAGGCAACACAACAACTGTAAGCTGCTCTTTTCATCACCAAGTTCTCACATTACTATCACAGACTGTCATTTATGAATGAGTTTATTCAAACCGTTAATTATTGTGGAGTAAATGTGGCAGCGCTGACATGTGAACATCGTCACAGCCGTTCTCACCCATGAAGTACATTCCAACACCAATAAGGACAAAGGCTGTTAATGGGTAACTGAAACACTGAAAGCTTAAAAGTCTTTCATTGTCCCTCAGTCAACCAGAAACCAACAGTTACAAACTTGAGCTTAAGAAAGTGCTTTTAAAAAGGATGAAACTTTAAGACTTTCAATCACTTTTAATCAATACTAAGAGAATCTCCATGTGACTGGCGTTCTCTTGTTTGCGTAACTCAAGCTGAAACCAGACGGACAGGTTTTGTTGGGTCGGGGGTGGAGAGTGGGACAGCAGCAGGGGAGAAGTGAGAGAGAAAAAAAACCCCCCACACAACGCAAGCTTTGCTTTCTGTAGAAACTCCAACTATAAAACGTGCCCACAGACATACATTGTGGCTTTCTGCCTTCTGTGAGAAAAGGAAGTAAAAGTGCAGACTGCTTACGTGGTGTCGCACCAAACAAGAAAATAAAAAATTGCTTCCTTGACAAAGAAACACTCAGTTCTGTAATTCAGCCTTTTTTTTCTGTCAACTAAAGTCCGAACCAGGTTAATCTTCTTATAAAAGAAGCTCTAATCTCTCCATCACATTCATCTGCTGTTTCGACATTCAGGCCGCAGGATTTAGGCGAACTTGCCTCGACAGGTTTGATGACAACTACCATGGAACGGCTCATGTGACAAAAAAGCACAATAACTTCAGGGAAACTGATGTGATCAGTGTCCTCTTCCAACTAAATCCTTTTGTAAAAAAAAGATTTGAAATAACACACTATTTCGAGCGTTAAGAGGAGACCATGAGGATTTTAGAAAGTTTTTAAAGAAATCTAAGAACCAAAGAGAATTATCTTACCTATGGCACTAAACACAAAGTGGGTGACCTTGAATAAACAAACAGAAATTCCAAGTAATACAGTGGAGCGATGACTCATGTTTAATACTGAAACTCCACTGTCATAAACTTAACTTTGAGTCTATGTTTGCAGAGAAACTAACTTTACTAAAGCAGCCAACTCTCATATGAGATTTTATCTACAACCTGGGATTTGCATTGTTAGAGTGAGTTAATGTCACATTACTCGTCCTGGTCGACAAGATCGAAGCTTTCTATGCATTGAAAGAAAAATTTGGAAAACAGATGAATGAATATACTCAGATGGTGTTTCTATCAGCCCAGATACTCACGATCAGACTGCTCAGGAGTAAGGACCAGAACAGTGACCTTGGTTGAGTCAGATTGGCCGATAGTGTCCGTGACGGTCAGCTGGAACTTGTAAACTCCAGATGTCAGATTGGACACGATGATCTGGTCATCAAAGTCGGTTTTCTACAAGGAATCAAAGGGGACAGTGTTGCAGAATTACTCCTGGTCCAAACTGGACTGTAGCAAGTCTGGCCTTTTACTGTTTTAGGTCACTCACCTGAAAGACCGCGTGAGGATACCCAGTCAGCAGTAGCCACTGGTAGGACACAATCCCCTTGTCATCTTTGCTCTCTATGCCGTTCAGTGTCACACTGTCCTGAGGTTGCACCACAAGGTCCAGGCCTCCGTTGGCCACTGGTGGACGGTCTGATTCATCTGGGGTGACACAATTGGATCACTGTACATCGCATATAGACAAGCTCTATGATAACTTACACACACACAATTAGGAGTTGTTTGCAGACACAAGGTTGCAACACACAAAGAGGTAGAAACAGAAACCTGAACCACTACACCAAGGGCCTGGCGTGTGTGAACATGCTGAAATGAGGGCTGTTGCCCCAAATCTGTGGCCTGAGAACAAAACGCTTAATCACAGACCATGGAAAGACATGAAGATTGATTATTAGTAGACACTGACAACAATGACAAAGGATCTGAGCCAACACGATTAAATTAAGTGGTATGCCGAAATAGTCCTTAGGAAAACTTTAACTTAACTTTACAGATAATGACTACATACAGTGTCAAATCTTCACCTGTGACACATAACACACTGTTGAAAGGAATGATTGAAATAGAATCCACAATGGTTAAAAGGGTTCCCTCCTGACAAACCGACATGCATCAACGTGGATGTGTTTGGAAGTGTTTGTGTTGCTTGGAACAGTTTGGATTCTTACTTGGAGGAGTATCCATTTCCAGATAGCTCTCATACACCGAGTCCAGGATGTAGTTGGTGTATCCCTTCTTTCTGACGAAGCGACAAGCGTATTTCTTCTTGTAGAGGCAGTCAAACAGAAAGCAGGAGTTCACTAAACCTTCCTCGTCTCCTCTCTGCATGAAGGCGACATTGCACCTCGGCTCTTTGCAGCAGGCGGCCACACAGTCCCTGTATCGGTCCAGCTTCGGCGACAAAAGGAACGTGGCTCCGTCTTTCACGGACTCGTCTGTGTCGAGGACGAAATCCTCTTTGCCGGCCTTGAATCTGGGGAAACACTCATCTCCGGACTCCTGCGCTCCGGCGCAGCGCAGCAGCAGCGCGGAGAGCAGGAGCGCACACGCTCCCAGGTGTCCTGTGTGCACCCGAACCATTGTGTAAATAGTCCTGTCTGTGTTTTCCAATCGCAAGGATCACCTGGAACTAGTATTAATATAACTTCTAACAAGTCGACTTCTCCGTGGAGTGTTTAGGCCGCAGACGGAAAAACAACACTTCTCCTCTCGACCAACAACCTTCAAGTAAAGAAGACGTGAAAGCGTCTCCAGACTTCCTGAGCAGTGATCGGTTAAGTCCCTCCAAACCGAGCTGACACTCAACAGCCCCTGAAACTGTCCCAGGACGATCCTCTGGTTTAATGTCGACAAAAACCTAAACCACCGACGACATCAGCCCAGGTGACTCACCTGAGAGATACAGGAAGTGAAATTCCACTCCTGACATGCCACTCCCTTATTACACCGAGACTGACTGAGACTTCACACTCGACAGCTTCAGTGTCAGTGTGTTCACCTCATTGTTAAAACACATACTTTGCATAGGCTACAGTCATAAGAAGGGAATGTGTCCTTTCACACAGCTTTTTACCTTATACTTTATCATATTTCCACTATGGCCGTTGTGATGGATTCCCCCAGAAAGAAGTAACCCTGTACTAACAAAGTCTAAACACAATGTAGAGTAAAATCTGAATCAGGATCTGGTTTTATTTACAAGCAGATTTACACATACAAGGAATTTGCTGTGGTGGGTTTGTGCAATTATAAATATATAAATAAGAAACAAAAAATTAATAAAAATACAATAATCAAATAAATAACACTCCAAGCAAATGCAAAATACTATAAGCAGAAGGGATTGTGCAGTATGTTCTGTTATCCTTAGTTGTAAAGTGTCACAGTCACAGGCAGGGATAATAATATAATAAGACAAAGATGTAACAGCTACTTGTTTTTTACTTATTTATAAGCAAATAGCACCAACATTTTCTAAAAAGACTATGATGCATGTGAAACACTATGATAACAAGGTTTAAAAAAAACAAAGTAAAAGTAAAAAGGCAGCATAAAAGCTAGTGGGAAACTGAATTACCTGTAATCAGACAACATGAGAAGTTAGTTATTGCTGTTGTTATTGGGAATAATACGCAAATGAAACAACATTCACCTATCTCGTTTATACGTCTATATATCATTTGCTAGCTTTAATCCAGAAGGTGGCAGTGTAATCCCACCATCAGGTAAGAAATAATCTTCAGGGTGAACAAAGTATGACTCATACTTGTGGTATATCGTATATATGTATAGCATGATATAGGATCATTAACACAAGATATCACTGAAATCCTAAAAAACACAATGTTGTTGTGACAGAACGTGATACTGAGTTGATTAAGCAATCACGTTACAGTCATGACGTCACACATGAATCAGCAACGTGGGGAGAGGCAGGAAGTGGTGGCTCTGATTATGAAATCAGGATAAATTGTTGTTGTTATTAAGAGTGAATCACATTTCAATATAAATTTCGGCAGGTGATGGTTGCTTTGGGGGAAATGAGAGAAGTAACCAGATATTGAAATCTTCACTCAACATTATAAACAAACCACCAGACGTCTAATTCATCCTCTGCTTCTGTTTTCCATTCCTCTGTACTAGAATGAGTCACCCAGCCCGGTCTGAGGTGAGAAGGCCCAGCGCACTGCTCCAGTCCACGTCCCACGTTTCAGACAAGCCACTGTGGCGGAACCAAGTAGCCTCGGACTAGATGAATGAATTTGTTTGCCTGGAAAGGTGAGCTGCTGGAGCCACTCAATAATTCAGTGTTTGTAACAGACGGTGCATCAGTGGGTGAACACGCGCAGCTACGGCTGATTGATAGTCCCTGCCAAAACAAAAAGCCGAACCCCATCATTCATATCGTAATAAGATCTGTGGAAACTCTGCGGCCTGTTGTCTCTGCTGTCTCACCTGTGGAAAAAAAATTGGCACTGGGATGCAGAACTATGAATTTCTGACCTTGGGTTATGTGCCACTGTTGATGTTTGACTTCACAAACAGCTTCAAGACTTTAATTTGACTTTTTATACAGCCATAAACAGTGCTCTCCTAGTCATCCATTATGGATGGGTGCGTAACGGAGGACGCCAATTTGACTTCAAGGCTTATTAAACGCACACCTGATAATGGCTGTTATAAAGGGACGCAGCGGCTATCACACTAGAGGAACCCTGGCTCACCTGTCAGGGGGACCCAGCCATTGTTGGAAGTGTTTGCAAACACAAGAGCCGTGTGCATATGAAACCCTGTTCAGTTTGTCAGCAGATATATACTAAAGACACTTTATTCAGTGAAAAACAAAACAAATATATGGCTGGTGTGTTGGTATGTAGAGTTTTCTGATGATATATATGTCTTTAGATCACATAACTTGGGGGAAAAGAAGAAAAAGACAAATGCCAGCCGGAGTTATAACCATATTGCAGTGGTTACCCTCTAACCCTTTCTCCACTTTTTATTGCTGCAATCGACCTACATTCTCCCACCTGGAATAGCACAGAGCAAAGCATACACACACCCTGTGAGGTGCATGTGCACAAACACACACACACATGTAGACACACTATCTTGCACAGAGCCATATCTCATTACCATCCTCCTGATAGTGCAGCCAGTGGGTGTTGCAAAAGGAGGAGGGAAAGAGAGCAAGACAGTGAGCATTAGAGAAGGAGAGAGAGAGAGAGAGAGAAGGGCAGAGAGGAGGAGGACAGGCAGGGAACCAGAGCGAGCGTTACAGAGAGGGAGAACACTCAGCACGATAACAAGAGATACGCATGGGAACAGCAGCTCACCGGAAAAGCAGTGGCATAAGAGACATAGAGGCAGAGTAGAGGAGGTGGTGTGCAAGACATACCCGTCAGAGCCTGAGGATCTGTAAGTGTGTGAGTGTGTGGGAGTGTGTGTGTGTGTGTGTGCTCTCCTGAGGCCGTGGCAGCCATGGCGTCTGATCCCAGCACCCAGTCCAGGGTGATGTTCCAGGCAACGGACAAAACAGAGGAGCCGGCTCACCGCAAGCTGGGCAAGCTGACGGTCAAGTACAACCGCAAGGATCTGCAGAGGCGGCTGGATATTGAGGAGTGGATCGACGGACAGCTGCACCTGCTGTTTGACTGCGAGGTAGGGTAGGGCGGCACACTGTGGTGGGTGCCTGAGGAGGTGAAGGATGCATGGGAGGCAGTGAACTGCTCATACATGCCTATGGTGGGCCATCCATCATGTGTGAGAGATTACAGCGACCTAAAGGAGGAGTGGGTGGGAGGTGAGCGGCTGCTCTGTTGTGGTTACAGTTTTTGGCTCACAAGCCCTCATGTGTCATCAGCCCATCAGCTGAACAGTTTTCCCACACTGATGAGATACGATTTGCCAAGATATGATGTTTAATCAGAGTCATCTGAAAACCTTTGGCAACCCTTATGACTCAACTCTTACGCCACTTTAAACACATGGTTTCCATATGTCTACATTTTACCACAATTTAGGCATTTGAATGATGGATTTAAACAGTGTGAATAAATCTAATTTCTAGGATCAGCGACACCCAAAGCCAGCACCAGGACATTATCACTGTAACTTTGTGATAAAGTAATAAAGAGGTGTTAGAGAAAGACATATGATATATTATATTAGATATTTTATGTTTAAAGGTACAGTGTGTAAAATTTTGTGATATTTAATGTTGAAGTTGCATGTTGCAGCTGAACACCCCTCACCTCACCCTCCCCTTCCAAACATGAAAAAGAAACTGTGGTAGCCTTTAATTCTCATAAAAACTCAAAAGGTGTTTAGTTTGTCCAGTCTGGACTAATGTAAAAAACATGGCGGCCTCCTTAGAAAGGACCCCCTTGATGTACATATAAAGTATTTAAATATAAAGGGCCTTTTCTGGTCTAAAGAAAACTATAATTCATTCAATTTAGAGTGAACTAGTGAAAACATCCTGAGGATTATTCTACATTAAATGTCCCTGAATTGATCCCTTTCACCTAAATCTTACACACTGGACCTTTAAATGCACATGTATGTCGTAGTTTTAACAAGTTTTAATACTGTGTGTGTATACTTGTACATCTTTGTGAGGACCATTTTGAGCAATGACATTTAAACATTAAGACTTGCTTTTAGGTGTAGGCCTTAAATTAGGGTTTAGGTTAGTGTTAAATAATAATATACTTTGATCGTGTCCCATGTATAGAGGAGGGTTTATGATAGTAGTGATTATTAGAGAACCTGACTGTAAATAAACATGCAAAAAAACAGTGGGACACAATCCAGTTATGTCAGAGGCTCCATATTGATTTGCTTGGCATTCTCTGAGGGGAAACCATGGCAACAGATGTCTCCTCGCCCACGTGAGGCAGCATGGCACACACAGAGGAATTAGGGGTGTCTGGTGAGGAGCACTAGGCTTCCTAATGACGCTGCAGTTCGGATGACAGCACCGCCTCGGTTTCATGCCAGAGCAGACAAGAGTCAAAGTGTTTCTCAGTTAATTCTCAAACCACACACACAGGAACCTCGGCTGTTTCATGGTCTGCAGCCACCTTAATGTCTGGCTTCCTGTTTCACTGCCAAGTTGCCTTTTAGATATGGTGTATAGTGTACCGATACTGCAGAGAAGGCTGACTGTGGTGATAGCTTCAGGGATTTTTTTATATTGTGCACACTACTTATTTTATAAATTTTAATTTATTCCTGTGATGCATAAAGAAGGGAGGAGTAAATAACATGAGTGGAAACCAGGACATGCAGATCACAAAAGCAGATCTGAAGTCTTTGCCTGTTTCTTCTTTTGATCTCGACCCAGAAACATGTGAATAGTTCCCGTTTGTAGCCTTTCATGCTCTGCCTCTAACATAATGTGCAACACATGCACAACACAGATAAAGTGAATGTGCAAGGTCTGCCATAAGGTTAATGTTAATATCTCTGCACATTACAACCTACAAGACTTGATATTTGGCCACTGTAATGAATTTTGCATCGGCTCAGGGCAAGTATACTCTGTTGGTTCGGAGTCTTCCGCGTGGAAGCATTTATCAGTCCCCTGTGTCACCGCCTGAATTATTAAAACCCATCTCCAATTCATACAAGTGCTGCCTCTGTCTGGAGCGGCCGTCCTCTTTGCAAACTTCACACCCTTTGAGAAATGTGCAAAAAACAGTTCTCAATACGAGTATAAATGGTGAGCAACATTTAGGCCTGTGTGTGAGGAGTAATTCAGAGCCCGGAAAGTTTGCAGTGAATGACTATTTTATTTGTATAGTTTTTAGAATTTGTCCAATACTTTCTTATACCTGTTCTGCCTGTTGAATCTTTCCCATTTCATAGTGTACAGTTAATGAATATTATGATGTTTGAGCAGCTCGTGCCTCTGACAGGAAAAGGGAAGGCTCTGATAAGTA